TATAATAAATATGGAGTGTAAAGGGTGTATTCCCAGGGTGTTGTGGCACCTGAATGTGGGGCTTTTCTTTTCCTTCCTGCATCACTTCAAGCCTCATCCTAATACACCGTAATAACAATCCTCTATCATCCCATGTAGAGAACACCACCAGCAGCCCTGACCAGGAGAACAGCACAGATCCAGAGCACAAATGGCCTTCCTGCAATGCTCAGGATGAAATGCTCAACTTGGCTTTCACCATTGGGTCCTTCCTGCTCAGCGCAATCACGCTGCCACTGGGAATTGTCATGGATAAGTACGGACCTCGCAAGCTCCGGCTGCTTGGCAGGTCGGTGTCCTGGGCTCTTTGGGTGGGCTGAGGGGTGAATTCATGCGTTGTATGGGGTTGGTGAGTGCTGTTTGGGTGCTGTGCATGTTGTGGGGTCCCTGCACCCCAAGGGATGGGGCTGGGAGCTGCTGGCCATCCACAAGATGCTGGATTTTGGCCAGTGCAGTGAGTTGCTCCATAAGGGAAGGGCCTGGGACTCTGTGTTCACACTTCAGCTCTCCAGAGTTGCTGTGTTCTCTGGCCATATGGAGCCTGGAGGAAGAGTGGAGTCATTTGTGAGTCACAGAGGGTGGCTTTTTCCTTGAGCTGGGAGCTATGTCCTGAGAGGCACCAAACCAAGATGTTACATCATTGTTTGCAAGCTGGGGAGTTAACTCGGGGATAAACATGTCCTGCCTGTCTTTTCTAGGCTTTCTCTGCCTTGTGCTGTATGTTGTTTTCTGCCTCAAATAGCAAGGCTGTTTCCATGGTGGGTAGGGATTAGGGACTTGTTGGGCACACTGAACCCCCCCACTGCTGAGTTTTAATGCACTGAAACTGAGCTGGTTTGGAGGCAGAGTGGGAAAAACAGGGCAACTCTCTGACTCAGACCTTACCAGAGAAGAGCTGGTGAATAGGCTGTGGGTGCTGTGATCACAGCTGGGGCTCAGGACCAAGGTCTTTGGTCACCTCGGTGGCAAAGCTTTGTGCTGGAAAACCAGTGGGGAATTTGGGTCCAGCAAGAGCTGCCTCAATACTGGAAGGAGAGGTTGTCGCCTCAGCCCTTGTACAAGGTTTGCCTGTAATATTTGGGTATTTCCCTGGATTTTTCTTCCCTCCTTCTTACAGGAATTATTCTGTGCTTGCTTAATGAGGTGCTGAGGAAGTAGGAGCATGTGTAACTTGCGGTGTGTAAGGCTGGCTATAAGAAACACATGGGTTTGGTTCCCTTTCAGTGCCTGCTTTGCCGTGTCCTGCGTGCTGATCGCGTACGGTGCCAGTAACCCAGACTGTGAGTAGGAATTTCTCCTCTGAGCTGGGGGGAATTTGGGGCTGTGGCTTTGGGGTTTTTAGGGGGGAAGCAGGCACACATGGCACTGTGTGCTCTGTCGCATCCCTAGTGCTGCACTGGGGTCCTGCTGGCGCCACAAAGCATCTGCTGGCCTGGGGGAGCTGAGCGGCTCTGGGGAGGGCTGGTGTTTCACAATGCTAAATAGAGAGTGTTAGCAAGGGCCAACTGTCTGAGGTAGCCAGGCCTCTCAGCTCTGCGTTTGGGCAGGGCTGGGTCCTGTGAAAGAGCAATTCCAAACAAGTTCATGGCTTTCTCAGGGTTGGGCAATAGGTAATAGCAATGTGGAATGGGTAATAGCGGTGTGTAATCGGCTTTCTCGCCAGGGATAGATGGAGCCTTTGCTCCTCAAGACCAGATAGTGAGATGACTCTTTGAATCCAGTCCTCTCAAGTAAACCTTCCTTTTAAGACCCCTGAAGACAAGCTGCATCAGCAAGTGTGTTCATTAGAGAAACCCTTCCCTCCTGGAGAGAGATGATCCCATCCTGATCTCTGTCTCGGAGGAGAGCCCGGGCCCTCCTTTGCATGGCTGGGGAGATGGTGCTGGGTCAGGTAGAGTGTGGCACATCCTGGGGGCCCACTGAGGTTTTTATGTGTCAGGACCGAAGCCCTCAGGGCTCTCCTCCTCCTCTTCACCCCACTGAAAGCTAAGGGTGGCTTTTTATTGTTGCAGCTCTGTCTGTGCTGATATTCATCGCGCTGGCTCTGAATGGCTTTGGTGGGATGTGTATGACCTTCACATCGCTTACGGTAAGTGGAGAGTTATTACCTGGCCCTGTTTTATTTCTTACTGTGGCTGTGAGCTGGGCTGGCAGGAAAGAACAAAGTGGATCTTTTGCCTGTGGCTTGAACAGCATGGGGTTTTGTCTGGTACAAAGGGTCAGTCCCTCTTACCTGTGAGGCTGAGTGGTAGGTGGTTGTTCTAAGGCTTTTCTTTCCCCCAGCCCTCCTTCACCTTGCCTCTCAGGTGAGGGCAGGGGGAAGGAAAAGGAAGTGGTTTTGTCCATTGTCATATGCCTGTGCATGCAGCGCTCAGCAGTCTAGCACAACCTGGACATGTGTTTGCACTGGATTTGGCATTGGCACGCTGCAGGAAGGATGAGCAGGGCACGGCCCCTTGCAGCTGGGTATGGCCAGCTTTCTGCAAGCACAGTTTGCATCTCGCCCCAGGGAGATGGTTGTTCTTGAGCACAAAAGCTTTTGCTCTCAAGAAGGGCGAGATTCTCTTCCAGGTTTCCTTAGGATGCTGCCTTGTTGAATGCACCCAGCTCCACTGGGATCTGTTTAGTCCATGGGTTGTATTGCAAACATTGGTCAACCACTGTCAGCTGGATCTCTATGTTTTGGAGTTCTTTCTGCTCAGGGACAGAAGCATTATTGTCCTTCAAGTAGCTGCTTCATTTTCTACCTCATTACCCTGATCCTTGTCAGTGTGGATGAAACAGGGCTGGGTGGGAAGTCTCCCAAAGCACTGATGTGCTTGAAAATGTTCAGATTTGGACTGTATTACCTTGAACTTGCTATTGAAATAAAACCTTCTGTTGAGGTTACCTTGAATTCAACAAGGCTCAGGCACTGTCTGAACTCCAAAGACCTGAATTTGAGGCTGGGTTTACAAATCACTCTGTACTGAGGCTGCTGTTGCCTTCCTATATTCCAAGCTTTCAAAACTCTGTGCAGATGTCAGTCTTTGCTCTGTATGTGATGTTCTTCACTGGAAGCCTTGGCTGTGGTCCCAAGAACTGTGGAGCAAATGTCATCCTGCCACGCTTTCAATGAAAGCAAGGAGGAGAGGATCATATCACTGCTGCTGTGGGATGGAGAGGATTCCCACCCTGCTGCAGCCAGCGTTGGTTATTGTCTCTCTGGGTGGTTATTAAGGGGTCACAAGTTATTTGAGAGCCACTGGTGATGATAGGAGGAAGGGCAAGGGCACGAATGTATTGGATGTGCTGTACTGTGGCTTTTAGCACCAGGAAAAGAAAGAAAAGACACTTACTTATTAGCTCTCTCATTAGTGAGCCAGCTCCAGAGCTCTAAGGAGTACAGCAGCAGGAAAAAGGTCACATCTTCCAAGACGAGATTCAAGCCTTGAGGAGGTGTGAAGCAAGCAAGGATGCGGTGAGTTCCTGCAGGGAGACCTCAGGTGGAGCCCATGCCCTCTGGACAGCAGTGTCTTGTGAGGAGCTGAGGTGGCTTCAGGCTTGGCTTCTCACATCCAGATGCTCGTGCCTCCGTGCAGAGGCATTTTGGTACCTGAGGCATGTGAATGTGATTAAAAATAGCCTCAAGTGGGAGGGAAGCACTTCTTCACCCACATCATAACGGAGCCGTGGCGGTGGCTGTTAAAAGCGGGTGTATTTTGCTCACTGTCAGCTTCCTGTTTTGTCCCTGCATGGTTCTACCTGCAAGCTGGGATGCTTGTGGTGCTTCTGCAGTGACATTGGGATCTCTTGTGGGTCCATTCTACATGTGGACAGGGAGCATGGCAAGGGAGGGACATGGAGAGACTGGAGCAAGCAGTGAAAGAGGAGGCTCAAAGACCTTTGTAAGGGCGCTCGTATGGAGGCAGCAAGCGCTGCTCAGCTCGTGGTGCCAAGTGAGCTCGTTCTGGCTGCCGAGCACACACGTGTGTGCAGGAGTCACAGCACGGTGACTTCCTGCTCCTGCCAGCCACGAGTGACCTGACATGCTCCAGGAAATGGGTCAAACCCACTGGGGCATGAGCTGGTGCTCTGCCACCCCAGGCGGCTCACGGGGAGTTGGGATGCTCCCTGGGATACCTGCGTGCAGGGGCATGGTGTAACCTGAGGGCAGAACAGGAGATGGGGATCCCCAGGGCCTGTGAAAGGGATCTATGGGGTCTTTGAGGGTTACTGGGACAGAATTCCACTTTGCCTTTTGGGTTCAAAGCCTTCCTCAGTAACAAGTCCCCTGGGGATCATGCAAGCACATGCAGAGCCAAAGCAAGCTGCTGTTTCTGGGTACCGTGTGTTGTGGCTTGGGGAGGAGGGAGCGGTGGTGTTCCTGCTTCTGGGAACAAGGTCAGGCTGTGCCTGTTGTCAAAATGCAGAGGGGAGATTTCTGCCTCGTGACTTGGTCTGAACCAGTGTGAGTGAGGATGGGAAATGGAACCAGATCTGTGTTGGTGGCTCTGACAGCACAGGAATCTGGCGCTGGTTCTGCTCTGAAGCTATTTCATGCGGAGAAACAAACATGTGTGATAAATTACCACAAAGAGCCTTTGATAGATTGTTTTCTGCTCTGTTTTCGTTTCAAAGAATTACAGCTGCTTTGCTCTTCTGCTGCAAACAGCAGCCTTCAGTCAGAGCAGGGGAGCATCTTTGTATAGGGAGTCTTCTCTGCTGGGAGATAGTAGGAAAACCTTGGGCTCTATGATCTTCTGTGGGAGAATGGGAACAGGAATTTCCATATGCTTTGGAAACAGAGGGTGATTTGAGGTGTCTGTAACTTCCAAATAGACCCCTGATAAGGAAAACAAAGCTTAGCTTGAACAAAAATACCATTCCCCTGTAGTCTAGTTCTCAATCCCTTGACTTCTTCCACTGTTACTCCAAACAGTCCTTGCAAGAGGAGGGGAGCTGGGTTTGGTAATACTGCTGTGGTATGTTGTATATGGGTTGTCTCCAGGCAGAAGTGGATAAAATTACTGAAAAAGAAGACTGAAGGTCTTAAACTCACTATAGGACAGATGAGAAAATCACGTGCAAGAGGAAACTGTTCTATCAGTTTAGGATTGCATGCCTGGAATAAAGGTGTGGCAAAATTAAGTCGCTATCTTTCGGACAGGGCATGAAGTTAATAATACATTGAACATTAGTGACCTTTACACAGGAGGAGTATGTGTTTCTGTCATTGTAGGGCTTGTGGAGCTGGGGCTGTTGTACCAGAATGGCAGAAGTTGGTGGAGGAATCCCTTCTGCCTGTGGGATAGGATCAGAATGAGGGTCAGATCCTCTTGGAGGCAGAAAACCAAAGAGCCCACTTGCTCTGTGGCTTGTTTTTCCCAATACTTGCTGCTATAAAGACAGTGTGAGAAAATGGCTTAGTAGATACTGTGTGTTATTTTACCAGCTGGTTTACTAGTTGTTTTTCTGTCTGGGGATGAACTACTTGTTCCCTTTGCTTCCCCTCTGCTCCTCCGGATTGTCTCAGATTTCTTTTCCTCCCAAGTGCTCAGTGTTGGCAGTTTCCCCTTGGATTGGGTTGGGTAAAGACCTTAAATCTCCAATGTCTGTTTTCTTTGTTATCTGGCTGCTTGCTTGGTGCCAAATAGGATTTTAGGAATCTTCAGCATTCTAGGACTCCTATTCTAGCACACTTGGGGTTTCCTGGGTATCACTGCTTGCTTTAATACCTGTCTATGTCTGCAGCGGCCTCGGAGCAGGAGGATCCACCTGGGAGCTGTGTGTTATGGAAAAGGCTTTTTGGGAGCTCCGGGGAAAACCAGCCCAGGCCACGAAGCAGCTGTGTTTGTGGAGCTCCTGCTCCCTGCTGTTTACTGCCATTGCTGGAGATCCGTTTAGGTTTGGGGTGTTTGACATTAAATCAGCGACCGGCCTTTCTGCAACCTGCAGATCTTGTGTTCTGCAGGTGCCACTTTCTGGGGTGTGTGTTAAGACCATTGCTTCCAAGAAGAGCTGTTTTCGTGCCTGGTAACAGACCTTTGGCTCCTTTGCTGTTTCCTGCCTGCAGCTCCCGAAAGCAGCCTGTTGGCAGCTCTCCCGCATGCAGGGATCCGGGGCTGGGTGTGGGGAGGGATGCTCTGCAGAGCAGTGCAGTGCTTTGTGCCTCTGCTGGGGGTGCAGCAGCAGCAGCAGCAGCGTTTGTGCTGTTTGCTGGCTGGGGTTATGTGAGGACCTGGGGACTGCACTGCATAGGAAGCTCTGCAGTGAGACACAGGGATGATAAACAGCCAGATGATCCTACAGGGTTCCTGCACAGGAATACTGGCATTGTAAACACGCTGGCCCTGCCGTGACACAAGCCAGATTTGCTTCCCTTATATGCTGCTCCTGGGAGAGATGGGTTTGTTTTTCAGCAGTGGAAGGGGAATGTGATGACAGCGTTTGCTTGCTCAGGCTCCATCTAATATTCTCTGAATCATTTTGTTCAGCAGCATCTTTAAACGGATAAAATGCTGGTTGTGCCTTTAGTCCTAGAAGGCTCCTGCAGTGTCCTGCTTTGAGGCTGACGTGGTAGCGATGCCCGTGTGAACTTGGGGATGAAGTGACCCAAAAAAGGAGGTGGGAGGGGAATCTGTCAGCCTGCAGCAGAATCTCTGCGTGTTGACCAGCTTCAGGAGGTATCAGGCAAGCTCTCAGCCTACCACTTCAAAGCTCCTCCCTGTAATCTCCAGCTTGCAGGCCAGCATTAGTGATGGAAACTGGGTAACTTATGGCTGTTTGGGAAAACGGGGAGTTCCTCCTTTTCCGGGAGAGTGGGAAGGTCTTTGTGCTCTGCCTGCTCCACTCTGCTTCTGGGTCCTGAGTGGAAGCTGGGGCTGAAGAGCCAGCCTGGGAGTGCTTTTGCTGTTGAGGTGGCAGAGTTGGATGCTGTGAGCTGCTTCAGCTGTGCCTGCGGAGAGCTTTGCTTTCCCAATAGATCCTTGCAGAACCAGCCTGGTCTGCTCTCCGCACTGCCATCATACCCGAGAGGAGCCCGGGCAGTGAAGTGGGGTGGGTGGCAGGAACGTGAGGAGCTATTGCCTGCTTCTTGGTGCAGAGTTCAGCAGCTTCATACCTGCATCAGGCAGTAAAGCCTTGGATACGTAGTGCTTGTGATTGCCTTCCTGCACCTAGCGCCAAGATAAGTGTGCTTGGGCATTCAACTGATGCAGAAATAACCAGCTTTAGCCCCTCTCTGCAAGAATATGCTCTCATGGAAGGAGGCAACGACCTAGCTCTAAGTGGAAATGCAAACAGCAACACAGTTCATGTTTGTCTCTGTTCCTTCTTGCTGCAACAGGAATTTTCTGGTCTACTGCAAAGATTTGGGTGCTGACCCAAGGTGCATAAACAAACCCAGCAGCTCAAGGTGTTGCAGGGTGTGTTGAAGGCTGTGCAGCAATCGCAGCCTGTGTCTGATGGCTCTTGACTAGAAAGAGCTGTTGTGTTAGCTTGACTATAAACAGGGTGATATGTAAAAGAGCCTGAATTTTTTGGAGAGGAAAGGTGGAGATGGCTACAGACTTGGGGTAAGGAGCTCCTAAAGAAAGCACAAGGGCTGGAGCAAACACGCCTGTCCTAAAGGTAACTGAAGCAAAGTGTGCTGTCAGTCTGGAGAGAAGCAGTGCCATTAAGCCCCTAAATCTTGGGCTGTAGATGTTCCCTGACACTGCAGATGTGAATGCAACCTGATGAGCAAAGTCATTCTTAAGTAAAACTGGCTGCTTCAGGCTGGTATCTGGGAGCCTTCATCCTAAATGCCTGTATCCACTCAAGAAAAGCCTCCTTCCCTTTTCTACCCTTCCCTTGGCACAAGCCTGTTTCAACCCCTTTTTTCCTTCCCCAGCTGCCCAACATGTTCGGTGACCTTCGTTCCACGTTCATCGCTCTGATGATTGGCTCCTATGCTTCCTCTGCTGTGACTTTTCCAGGAATCAAGGTGAGGCTGTGGGCTAGTGACTCATGACCAGTCACAGCTCGTGGTGGAGTGCTGGCAGCTTGCACCATTTAGCAATAACAGGGCGAGAGAGAGGGACTGTTTGTTAAACCACTTTGAGAGGTGCATTTGCAAGATTCAGTTCCCATCTCTGTTAGAGACTTCCCAAGTGGTGGCCCCAAGGATGCAACAACTGCAGCAAAGAGAAGGGTCTGTTAATAATAGACACTATTACTACTATTACACTATTAACAGACAGTAGTATTTTAAAGGTGATAAATAAGTGACAAGCTGAAGATCTCTTCTATGAAAGGTTGCTTTTTTTATTCTCTAAGGAATGTACATATATATGTATTTTTAATACCCATGTGTATTTAATCTGTGTGGTTGTTAATGGTGGTTGGCTTTGAACGTAGAGTGAGCAAACTGCCCTGAAAGGCCAGAAGAGACAGTCAGTTGAGCTGCCTTGGTGGAGCAATAGTGGCTCTGAACCAAGATGTCTCATTGCAGGGTTAGCATAAGGGGGATATAATAAAGATAAGCCAGTGTCAAGTGTGCAGGGAAGTTCTTGCTGGCTTTGCAAGGAGAAATGCATGTTATTCCAGCTATAGCTGCTGTTGAAGATGTGCATACACATCTCTTCCTAAGCCTGCCTGTCATAAACATGGCTTTTGTTACCACTTGAGTTAAACCCATTTTAAATGTAGTAGTAATTTCCCACAGCTTCCTCTCAGTCCTCATTCAGAGAATATTGAAGTATCTTTCTGCTCTTACAGCCAAAACCATGTTCCCTTGTGATTTCCAGGTTATATATGACTTTGGGGTCTCCTTCATCCTTATTCTGCTGGTCTGGGCAAGCTGTGCAGGACTAGTTTTCCTCAACTGCTTCTTCAACTGGCCCCTGGAGCCTTTCCCAGGACCCGAAGACATGGACTACTCGTAAGTGTCCTCCAGACTGGCCTTGAGGGCTGATCCCATTCTTAATCCTCTAGGAAGTGCTGTCACAACTGATTTGGAGTGGTGGACAGGGAACTTCCTTGCATGTTGTTTATTGCTGCCACTCCTTAGGTTGAGGATTTATGTCTGCCATTAGCATTATGTCTTGATATCTGTGGGAAGTAGAACTTTTCAGAGCATAGGAATTACGAAGGAAAAATGATCTGTTACTAGTCATAAGTGTTTCTATATTGACCTGTGCCAAACTGGCCCTGGGGAAGTATCTCTGTGCTCTGGATCCAGACCATTTGTAGGCTTGTAGATGGAAACTAGTGCATTAAATCCACACATAGCCTTTTGTCCTGCAGCTTTGCTTCCTCTGCCTCCTTGCCCTGTGTTGCAGCTCTCATGCTCTTTGCTACCCAACAGGGTGAAAATAAAGTTCAGCTGGCTGGGATTTGACCACAAAATCACTGGGAAACAGTTCTACAAGCAAGTGACGACTGTGGGGCGCCGCCTCAGCGTGGGGAGCTCCATGAAGGGCCCCAAGGAGCCGACAGCCTTGCAGGAGAACAACAAGCTCTGCCTGTCCACGGTGGACCTGGAAGTGAAGTGCCAGCCTGACAATGCAGGTGTGCTTCCATGAGTGCCCAGGGATGCTTGTGCTGGCCCCAGCCTTCTTTATAAGAGAGATGTGACCGGTGCATTGCCAGGGCCATATGCCAGCCACCATCATTTAAGCACAAGTGCAGCTATATAAGGGTTCCTGTCCTTATATACTTGCCTAAATATACCACACGGTGTTGTCAGTGGTGGGGACAACAGCATGGGTGACTGGTATGGCTGCAGGACAGTGCATGGTCACTGCTGCCATCCTGACCAAGCTCTTCCTTGTTCAGTGGTATGGTGAAAGCAAATGGTTTGAAGCTTCCTTTTGCTCTAATCTATAGAATTAGGTGAGTCTTTCTTCCTGCTCCCTCGCCCCTGTTGCTGGTAGCCAGACTCCAAGCATCTATAGCTGCTCATTATCGAGGTTTATAGGGTAACTGGTAGTTGCTAGGAGTGAACTCCTTGAAGCTGCCACTGGTGCACAGTGTTGGAATGAGTAGCTAGGAGAACACTTGCTAACCCAGAGGTGGAAGCTTCGTGCATGTTTACAAAGCTATGCTGCCTTCCTCAGACTCTATTATTCCTTCTGCAGCTTCTCCCTCCTTCATGAAGAGTGTCTTCAGTCCTATCTTGTTGCTCAGCCTTATCACCATGTGTGTCACTCAGCTGCGGCTCATCTTCTACATGGGAGCCATGAATACCATCCTGGAGTTTCTGTCTGGAGATAAAGATCAAGGTAGGGTTAACCTGAAAACATCGATCTGCTTCCTTGGAAGCAGGACCTGACCCAGGCTTGGTCCTTGCAAGAGGCCAGCAAGGCTGATTACTCAGCAGATACGCTGTGTATAGCTATTAGTGGTGTCAGTGTGGCTGACAGCTGCTGGTAGGGTCTAGTGGAGGGCTGGAACTAGCCCAGGACAGCGGGGCAGCGAGGTAGACACTTGAATGTCAAGCTAATTTTAGCCCTGTGTCTGTTAAACACTATTCCATGTTATTTCCTGAGATGGGTTGTTGAAAGTAGCCTCTGGGGCTGCACTGTGAGAATTGTTCTAGTGGGAAAGCCTATTTCATCAGGTATTTACTTGACTTCTAAGCAAGCACAGGGGATGGCGTAGCTGACTCCAGTGACTAGTGGTTGGACTTAGAGGTGTCTCAGCCCAGGAGCTGGGGGTGGGAGAAGTGAAGTCATGGCTGTTTTGTGCAGCTTGGTGTGTGCTGGGGAGACTCGGGGGCACTCGCTGCCCTGGCCTTGTATTCATAGCTCTGATTCAGCACATGGAGCAAACGGGAAGGAATCCATTAGCTGTCTGTTGTTGAAAATACTCAGGATTGCAAAACAGGACTTAGCCTTCTCTTTTTTTTTTCTCTGCCTGTGTGTCCCCTTTGTAGTAAGATCCAGTTTGAACTTGTTTAATCTGGATTGCATGAAGCTGATAAATCAAGAGGCACGCCTCTGAAAGCAGGAGTGAGCTCTGGGGGAGGGAAGGAAGCTGGGAAACTCCGAGTGGCCTGGCATTCCCTGAATCGCTTTGTTTCTTGAGCCTTTGACAGCCTGCAGCATTCAGCTCTTTATCTCCTGGCTCAAGAGCTGATTTAGACATTAAACAGTAAACAGGACAAACTTCATGCTGCCTTTCCCAACACTGCTTAGTTTTCTGCTTACCTTGTAACTCTTCCATCCTGATTCTCTTTCCTTTTTCCCTGGCTTGCTCTAGTTAATTCTTTTTCCCCTGTCCTTCCCTCCTTGGTATTTTAGACTTAATAGTAACTATATATGCTGCCAGTTCTGTTTGGATCAAGTTCCCATGTTAATAAAGGGATTGTCCCTTGGGTCTGTTGCATTTTCTCTGTGCCACCTTTAGGATTTCTTCCTGTTTTCCCTCTCCTCCCCCTGCATTAGCCTGGGCTCACAGTGCAGTCCAATGTCTTGGTGTTTCCATAGCATCAGCAAAACAGTGGTATTGTCTAGTCGCAGCAGTGTCAGGCTGTGAGAGCAGTTCCAAGACATGTGGAGCTCTCTAGAATGTAATCTGTGCAGACCAGGCGAGGATGGGATGCTGCTCCCTTGGATTCCTTGTTCTTCTTGTAGTTGTTTACTTGAACACTGTTTGTTTAGAGAGCTCTCTCCACCTGTAACTGCTCTCAGGAGCATTCAGCAAGGGAAGAAGAGAGTTGAGTCAATCCTGCAAGTGGTACGGTCAAAGGAAACGTGAATATTCTTAAGCAGAAGAGAAGGATGTGGGGAAAATCGCTCACATAGGTAGTAAAGTCTTTACCTTGCAGTGGGGCACCGTGTCCTTGAAGCAGATTATGGTGACTTAGGCCGGTCATGAAACCTAGACATGGAAAGAGCAGTCAGCCTGTGGCTACTTAGCTTCTGAAAACCCCCAAAAGATGGGGGAGAAGCAGAGGAATTTGGCAGCTCTGTAAATGATTCTGTAACACGCAGGCAGGCAGGAGAGGGTAGACCTGATGTCTAGAACTTGAAATCTGGCTGTATCTTTCATGCCTTGTCACCTTGTCTTCAAATACTTGGGGACCTTTGGGATAGAATCAGGGTGGGCTGGAGAACTTGCTTGTATGAGGTGCTTACTCGGGAGAGCTTTGAGGGAAAGACATGTAGAACAGTGGATGTAAAGAGCTGTCCCATGTGTGCACCCTTTGTTTGCTCTATCCAGGCTTCTATTTCTGTCCTGTCTGCTTCTGATGGTATTTGCTAGATACTGTTTGCTTTTTACCTCCTCAGGAAGGGGTGTTTTTTAAGATGATAGATAAATTGAGGGGGTCCTGTTTTATAGCAGCTACTATCCTCTTATTTTTGCTGACCCCATAGATTTTATTCCCTGCTTCACATTGGCTTCTGCCCTTGCTGTTTAGAGCCCAAGATTAAGTGTTCAGAATGGCATGAAGAGGCAAAGCATGACGGCATGGCTTGCTTCTTACCCTCTGCTAAAAAATAACCAGACAAGAGCAAATCAGCTCCAGGAGTGTTTGTCCAGGGTGATGCCATCTGCTTCTCCTGGCTACAGCAGTTGCTATAATGAGATGGGATGTGGGGCCACTTCAGGGCTTGCCTTTGAGAAGGTAACGGGGGCACGAATGCGAGGATGGAGTTGGAAGTTCCTCTTGGTTCTTGTGCCAGCAACTGGAGCCAGGAAAGTATCATCAGGTGCCCTGCTGGGGTGTGCTGCAGCAGCTTAAGAGAAAGGCTTGTTGGAAACTTCTCCATTACCAAGATAACTTTGGTATAAACCCTCGCTCCGGTTCTTTGGGTAGGTCTAGAAATGCATTGGGAGGGACAAGCTGACATTCTGGGCTGTTTTTCTCAGTGCTGTAGCTGGTGAACGCTCTGTGCTGAGATGGGCAGTTTCAGAATCCTTCAGAGCTGTGGTACACCAGTGACTCACCACGCTGCTGTGGGATGCCCAAACCCATCACGTGGGCTGTGGAGGGGAAGTGGAAACAGCATTGCAGGGTAGGGGAACTGTTCAGTAACAGGGAGGGACAGTTTCTGCTGGCATCAGCTTTCCCTTCACAAGCCATGTAGACACTTCTCCCATCTTTACCACATGGGGAATTCTCATCAGTTTGAGTTTTTAATGATTGCTCTCAATCTGTGGGGGTTTTTGCTTCCCTTCCTCTGCCACCCAACTTGTCCATTCAGCACGAAATGGGTTAGTCCTCACCTCCCTGGCTTGACTAGTCCTTGCCCGAGCTTCCTGGCTGGAGAAGATGTAGCTGCAGCTCCCAGCAAGGCAGGAGAGGAGATGACCAATGCAGGATTGGCTGTGCAGGATGTATTGCTTGTAAGACCTTTCCCTTGGTCCTAACCAGCATACACCTCACTGGCATGAAGCAGTAGCTGCATCCCATTTCTGGAGCCCTACCTGCTGTTGGGCTGATGCAGGATCACTAGAATGGTTGAAGCAAGTGTGCCTGATACGTCAACTCTGATGTCCTGCCTCTGGGAGCCTAAATGATGGAACGGGGCTTTGGTGTCTCATCTCCTTAAGCCCTGCCTGGTAGCTGGAGAGTAGATTTGGTCTGGGCTCTTAAAGAGGGGTGATGTGTAGGGAGGAGCAGTTTCTTTTCTCTTGCTGCTGTGGTATCACTTGGACTGACAACTCCTTCAATCTCTCTTCTCTTCCCTGCAGTGGCTCTCTACACTTCCATTTTTGGGGTACTGCAACTGCTGTGCTTGCTGACAGCGCCTGTGATCGGCTACATCATGGACTGGCGCCTGAAAGAGTGCGATGATGGCTCAGAAGAGGCTGAGGAGAGCAGCGCTGAGCAGTGCGTAGTGTGTGCCACACGGGACATGCAGCCGAGTAGCAGGCCCCCCCCTGCTCTGCGTGATGTGTGTTGTGATGAAGGACTGAAAAGGATGTTGGTTCTTCAGTATAGAAAGAAAGCCTGAAGGAAGACTTGATAATTGCAGAGGAAAGGACCAAACTACCCTCCATGTCCACTGAGATCAGTCAAGAAGAGCAAATTTAACTCGTAGCAGGGGAGGTTCAGAATTCCCTTCTAGCCTAACAGTAAGAATAACAGCACTGAAATAACTGCCTAGATGTCCCTCAGCTTCCCCTGATGGAGACCCCACCACCTCCTTAGGCAGACCTGTAGCCAAACCGGTTTAGACAGAGTTGATGTGATATGTGGAGAATCTTGCTGTGACTTCCAGTAGGTGCTGGAAGTGCTTTTTGTAACGTGGGTTTTGCTGTCCTTCCAGAAGTGACAAGAGAAAGAAAAAGCGTGATCGTCAGATCCAGAAAATCACCAATGCCACCAATGCCTTTGCATTCACAAATGTCCTCCTGGTTGGATTTGGAATCACCTGTCTTATTCCCAATCTGCCGCTGCAGGTGAATAGGTCAAATGGATGGGTGTGCTGGAGGGGCTGGTGTGCGTGTCCTGGCACAGGTACAGGCAGGACAGTGCCGTGCCCCGAGGTCCTGCGAGGAAGCAGAACCAGCTAGAGGCAGGAGGGGCTTTCTGGCACTGCTGGCAGACTTCTGTACTCCTTGGGAAACCCCAGTCTTGGAGTCGAACGAGTAATACCAGGCAGTTTACATCCCTAAAGAAGCAGCTGTAGTTAAAACGTCAGACTTGATGCACAACTTATTCACACTTGCAAGTTTCTGCAGCTGAGCTCTGCAACCACAAATACTTTGCTACCAACATCCTCTCAGCAGCGTGTGTGCATTCAACCTGGGCTCGATTGAAGCTGCTGGTGGTCAGAAAGCTTGAAGTAAGCACTTAGCATGACACTGATCTACACAGCAGGTTCTTTCTGCATCAAATGCTGTGCCCAATGGGGTTATAAACCTGTGAGAATATTTACTTTGTGGCACCATCTGGTTTTGGTGGAGGAGTTTAGTGATTTGGTGTTATACTTCAACGCGCCTTTATGACGTAGGTAAACAGACAGTTTGCTCACGCTTGTGTATTGTCTGCAGTAACTTGTGGAAAATTAACTAAACCATCCACAAGAGCAATCGAGAAGGGTTGTGACACCAGCCACGGGTTGCTGGGCTGTGCTTAACCTCAGTGGGCACTGTATCTTATCCTTCACAAAGTATGGAAAGCAGAGCCTTTAGAGAGGAATACGAACTTCTTGTGCTGATCTTTGAGGGTTTGGTTCTGGGTTCCTCGAGCCCACCTTTGTATTAGAAAAGAGAGCAGCTTTTGGGACTGGCTGTATGTTGGGGTCGGGCACAGGTAGGTGGAATCTAAGATGTGACACCTTTTCTGCTTCTCTTTCCAGATCCTTTCCTTCATTTTGCACACAATTGTGAGAGGATTCATCCACTCAGCTGTGGGAGGCCTCTATGCAGCTGTGTAAGTCTCTGCTTGCCTCTAATGTGTGGCTGGCAAGGTAAACTGGTTTGGGATGATAAGATGCTCATGTGAGAGGGAGATCAGGATGTGAAGTCTTTGTGGTCAGAGAGGAAAAATGATGCAACTTGTTTCCTCAGTCACCACTGGATGTGATAGTAGCTGGACTGAAGTCCTAGCTCATGTTTTCTTTGTTCAGAAACAGCTAATCCCTTTGGCACAGCTACTGCAATGAGACAGGAACAGCTGTAAATGGGCCTTGGGTGTGAGACTAGGCTATTGACACTAAGGTTATACAGTAAAAACTCAAGGCTTTTTTTGTCTTAGAATGAGTATCTATGTGTCTAGGTAAAACATTAACATAAAACTTTGCTACTGGTCTGCTCTGAAATTACACTGGTAAAGCATTGCTCAAGATCCCATTAGTGATGCCTACTCCCTTTCCCAGGACATCATCTGTCCTGTTTCTAGTGCACTGAACTATCAATAGCTGAATCTAAATACATGCTTCCTTGCGAAGCAATGGGTTTGGTTTTGAGAACAGATCTGCCCCTCTGTCCTGAAGAAGAGAAAGAAGCTGTTATCTTTCAGATATTGTTGAGGTGGGAAGGGACCTCTTGAGACCATCGATGGACTCAACCCTCATGTTCAAGCAGGATCAGATACAGCACATTGCCCAGGACTGTGTCTAGTTGGGTTTTGAATATCTCTGTGGATGGAGACTCCACAGACTCCTGCTGCCAAAGGTTTTGGTCCCAATGTCTGAGGAATCCAGACTGGTAAACTAGTCTAAGACTAAAAATGCATAAACTTCTGGTTCCCTGTCAGCTAGAAGCAAAAAGTTTTTGTCTTGGGCAAGATAAATGCTTGTTGCTGTAAATACTCAGCTTGTTGTAAACTAATCCTCTTTGACCCTTGCCACTCTGTAACTTCCTGGTCTGAGGTATTTTTGCTTTGAGAGTGATCTCTTTGAGTATTTCAAGGTTTTGATCCACTTCTTTCTTTCCAAGCTTAGTTTAACCTGACCCATTTTAAACACTGCTCAGTCATGGATGGAGAAAGATGTTAGACTGTTCCTGAACTTTATTTTTCCATGAGTAGTATCTGATATTCAGCACTTCCCAATCAACAGTATTGTTTAGTTTGACTTAGGACCAGATTTGTCCTCTAAAAAGGAAAACACAGACCAACCTGTTGTGCAGGTTTCACTCACTTCTACAGGGAGCAAATTGTTATGACCAGATGACAATGATTGCTCAGCCACAAATGCAATCATCTGGATAAAGAGGCCCTGCTTTTAGCTTGTAAATGTCAACACTCTTGTTCCTTTGCAATAGTTGTATAAGCACTTCCACCTGCCTGCAGTACAGCTGCAAAACAAAACAAGTGCTGGATCTGATGCTACTTGAGAGCTCAGGGTGAGAGTAGTCTGGAGAGAAAGGCACTGGGTACAGCTACACACTCTGTACTATAAGAAGTAGTTACACATGAATCCAGGTGAGAGAAGTCCTTCATATTATGCATGTCTTGGGTCTGTGTTGTGTGGTGGGAGTTGACTGGGAATGTAATCTGACCAGGGTGATGTGAACAGTCAAGGTGACATATAATAATGCTGCTGCTTTCTCTGTTGACAGATACCCCTCTACCCAGTTTGGCAGCTTGACAGGGTTGCAGTCGTTGATCAGTGCCCTCTTCGCCCTTCTTCAGCAGCCTCTTTTTATGGCATTGACAGGACCTTTGGAAGGAGACCCTCTCTGGGCAAGTTCTTCTCAAACTTAACGTCAAAGCTTAGTGCTTAAGATGGTTTGGGCTCACTTCTTTCAAAACAAAAGCACTCCTGTGCATGGACCAAGGTTAAAACCAGCTGGAAGTTTAGTCTGCTGTTACCTTGGTGCTGTCCAGGAGACTTCTCTGTGTGAGTAATGATTCCCTGGAAGGGAAAGCCGTTAACCCGTATGCCGATGTATGGAAAGGGAGGGAGAAGGCTGCAGGAGTGCTTTGTGCTAACAGTTTGTGTGGCAAGTCAAAACCTGTCAGGTAAAAGTGAGTGAACCTTAATGCTATAGAAATACCTTGTTCCCTTGAGAGCTGTTAGTACCAATTACCAGTAAATTTGGGGTTGCTGATGCTAATGTCTGAAAAGCCAAGTGACTATTGAGGGTAGGGCCAATGTGGTGTCTTGATGAGGGGCTTTCTGAGCAGCTCAATAAAATCATGACATGGGGGCTCTTGTAGCCTAGAGACCAGGACACTCCCCATGTGCCCACTGTTGCTCTTCAGTCACTAAACTCGATGTAAAAGAACTGCAGCTTCAACAGCTCTGCCTGTTCTGTGGAGCAAGACTCCTGCAGCCATGATCCAGAGCCACAAACTCTTGCAGCATTTAGCTCCTAGACCCGGTGCTCTGGGCTCAGCAGTGTAAATAGAATCCTGTGGAGGTTGTTGTCAATACACTGAGCAGGGCGTCTCCTGGTCTGCCCACAGCTGAGTGACGTGGGCTGGGTTCTGACACTGTGGCATGTGTAACTGGCTTGTCCTCATAGCCTGCCTGATTGTGTTTGTCTTTCCTTCCTTGCAGGTGAATGTTGGCTTGCTTGGTGTGAGCTTCCTGGGCTTCTGCCTTCCAATCTACCTGGTCTGCTACAGGCGCAGGCTAGAGAGAGAAAAAAAGCAGAAGGTGGAGGATGCCAAACTCTTCTTCAAAATCAACGGCACTCCCAATGAGGAAGCCTTTGTTTAAGCTCGTGCTTCAAATACAACCTCCCCTGTACAGGTTCCTACCACATCCGTGGGTTCTACCTGTGGTGTAAGCCAGGCTTTTCCTCCCCTGGCTCTGCCAGTCTTTGCTCATTGCTGGAGTGAGGGCTGGACATCATGACTGAGCTTCCCTCAGATACATGGCAGGAGGAGACTTCCCACTCCTTACTCCACAACACAGGACACTTTTCCTTTTTATAAAGGCCACGCAGATATTGTGTCTTAAATTATCCCCTGATCACACTCTCCAGTGGCAGAGCCTCTGCACGGGAAACTGGGGAGAGAAGGAATGGAGGGATGGGGGAAGAGGGAAGAAAGATCGTAACTTGTGTTTGCAGATGTAACACACTGAAATCTATTTTCTCCCCCTCTTCCTCCAACCTTGGCTGACATTGTCTCTGATGCAAGCTGCACGCTCCTCCCTCCCTGAGGCTTCATAATGGTCTTTCTGCTTAATATGTAGTTGGACCCAGTGGTTTTACTGTCTATCCAGATGTACCCTGGACTGTTCCCGAGGCAGGGAAGGGGATTTTATTCCTACGTGTATGAGCACAGCTTCAGTGTATTGCTAAATGTTGGCTGCTAGCACTGACAGCTCCCAAACCTTTTATTACTGCAAATGACACAGACTGTGAGCAATGGATCTGCCTTTCACACTGAAATGAAGAGCCTAGTGGACTGCTTGGTTCTAGACCAAGCCTTCAAAGGCCTGGGATTCCTCCTTTTCCTGGCCTACAACCACCTATATGTGTTTTAAACTGTCTGCAGTCCTGGAACCTTTGAGATAGGAATTGGATCTCGTTTACTGATGAAGTGCTTTGGGACTTGTTTCCTTTCGCCTCTTCTTCCCTCCAGTGTGACCCTGGGAGGGGAGCAGCAGCATGTACTTAAGGTGGAAAAGCTTCTTGAAGCTGAGTTCTGGGGCTCCAAATACCTTGGTGTTCCCATGTTGTGAGCTGACTTGCTGTTGAAAAGAACCGACGAGTGCAGAACACTCCTTTGTGTCTGGTAACTGGATCCTGTGGACATATGGGTGATGTGGTGAAGCGATTCTTCCTCCAGCCATAGCTTATTTACACCATTCTGATAACAGCCCCCAAGCTGCTGAACACCAGGTTACTGTGACTGACCAAAAAGCTGCTGGTTTGGCTGTATTAAGAGCCTTCTATGACATTGATGCTCTGTCTGGACAGAGTCCATGGTGATTGATTGTATGCTGAAGCTGACTTAGAGCAATACGTGTGGGTAAAGGTGCCCCAGGTCTGTTCACCATGGAGGGAATACAAAGGGAATTTTTAACCTGCTTATTTTTATAGAGGTTTTCCTAAGTCTTGTCTAAATTTGATTTATTTTTTTCTGCCCTTAACCTTTCTGTTGAGGTCAGTAGCTCAGCCTCTATAGCCTTGTGGCTCGCATTAACCACTGCACCATTCGGACCTGCTCATAGCAGGAAGGTGCAGTGCTGAGGGTGGATATTGCCAGTGGACACACGGCAGCAAATGCACTGGACTGAGCCAGTGGCTGCAGGAAGGTTGGGGGCAGAAACAAAACAGTTTTGAAGATGTAGTGGTGGTGCTTTCTGAACTGCTGACTCCTGTGGTACTGTGAAGCCTGGCGGGGGGTAACTCATCAACTGCTTTATGTCTGCTTGGAAAAGGCCAAAACTCAATCACTGCCCCGTTAGTGCTGGGGATGGGAAACAACAGCGTGCTCAGACCTTCCTTTGGGAAATTGCCTAGAAACTGGGTGTTAACTCCCTTACAGATGGCTTGGAGCATGCGGATGCTCAGCCCAGCCAGGTCTTCACCCTTCCTAAAGAGCAGGCTTGGTGACCTCTTGGACGGGACGTCTGGAAGCTCTGCCAGCAGATGATGAGGAAGCAGCTTTGTGGGGCAGCAGCGCCATCTCCAGCCAGTCTCCTGCGGGCAGTTCAGACACCTCTCCACCCCGTGGTACCTCCTAGACTTCAGTCACTCCTTTGGAAACGACTCTCCACTTGAGTATTTTACACGTTTGTGGAATTTTTTTTTAACGTGTTGCCTTTATTAAATGTGTTTGTTCCAAGACAGCCTTACTGCCTGCTGTCAACACTTCACTCTTGTTCACCTTCTTGTCTTTCCTTGACCTCTAGCTTTGGTGATGAGTTAGCCACTGTCCCAGCTTTCCTATCTTTTGTGTCAAGCAATAAGGAAGGAGGCAGAGTCTTGGTTCATTTTCCTGTTCACTGGCATTGTCTCAAGTACATGTTTGGAGACAAGCAGCCTGCCGAGCTCTCCAGAAGGCTTTCTATGGATTTCTGCATTTCATATTCTATACTTCTAAATGCTTTGAGTAGATTCCTACTTGTGCTCTGAGAATTTGTGACATGACAATGATGGGTTAAAGGTAATTTATTTATTTCTTTTATCAGTGAGAGCTCAGACAGGTGACTGTCCTCAGACTGGCAGTGTCTTAAACCAGAGATGGCTGGTGGTGTGCTGACTCAGCATGATTTCCACCTCACATGCAGAACATCAAATGTGATAGCTTCCACTCTTTGGTCACTTGAATTCCTGATATAAATCTCTCTGCAAAATGATGGAATAGTGGCATGTTTTCATGAAGACATAGTGGAGATGCTGCTGCATTTGAAGTATGTGTAGATAAATTAAACATCACCGTTTCACTTCTGCTATCTACCTCCCTACTGCTGTTCCCAGGTCCTGCCCTTTATTTGGGGTAGCTTCTAACCCAGGTTCATCTGATAAAATGGTGGAGATATGTGCTTAGTGTCCCTGCTGTGGTGGTTAGAAGCTGCTGGTCAGCTGTGAGTAGCAGAGCCTCACTCCTTTGAGTTGGAGTTGCAGGCTCTGCTTGCAGATGGAGAGTAAAGTGTGCCTTCAGCTGGCTGTCACCAGGACTAGTGGGTACACAAGGAGGTTTTGGTTGTTCAGGTTGGAACTGGCAAACAGGAGTGCAATGCAAAGTCAAATTTGGGAGTTCAGTGCTGCAGAATGTAGTGGGGATGAGAAGTATAAATAGATGAGTTACTGGGGTAGAAGCTCTTCCCTGTGAGGGTGCTGAGGCGCTGGCACAGGGTGCCCAGAGAAGCTGTGGCTGCCCCATCCCTGGCAGTGTTCAAGGCCAGGTTGGACACAGGGGCTTGGAGCAACCTGCTCTAGTGGAAGGTGTCCCTGCCCGGGGCAGGGGGTTGGAGCTGGAGGAACTTTAAGGTCCCTTCATCCCAAACTATTCTGTGGTTCTGTTTTTCAGAATGGGGCTGGTTAAAAGTGGTCTGATATATCTGCTAACTCAGGGAGATTTTAAGTTGCTGTAAATAAGAAAGTTATGCCAAGGAAAAATTCCTTTTCTATGTGCTCTGTCTCTTAAGAATTGGTCAAAGATGGAGAGAAAATAAATGCTGGGCTAGGTGAAACACTGGTCTGATGTAGTGGGATTTCATTTACTCTGACAGTTGTGAACCAAACTACTTCTAAGAAGCAGTCCCAAATTTCTCTCTCAAAAACCTCTGTGTGCATCATGTGCAAATACTCTACCAACTGTGGCACAACTGCTTAAATACTGCACCTCCTGCAGGGGTGGGCCCCTGGGAGGATGGAGTATTGTGGCTTCAGCCTCTTCTAAATCTTGTCTTGCATGATGCAGAAGCAAATGCTGTTGGGATGATCCTTTACACATGGTGGTTCATGGGCAGCCTGCCTCGATCTTTGTTGCTTATGGAAATGTGGATTACTGGAGTTTGGAGTGGAAAACAGCACTGCTGCTTTCTAGCTAAGTGATGTGGGACCAAGAGAATTCCTGATGTGCTTTTCTATGTGGCATGAGCCACCTTGTGGAAAAAAAATTAATGGGCCACCAAAGCGTGGTCATGGGAAAGCCCTCATTTCTGTAGCAGTATTCCCAGCTGGATGTAATGAAGCAGAAACCTGGTGTGTGAGTACTAGCTCACAGTAGGAGTCCTTAGAGTCAAGAGTGTTGCTGTGTAAAGGTGGTTGCACCTCTGGAAACACTGCTCCTGGCCTCTACAGGCTTTAAGATGTATGTAACATGCATCCATATTTAAATAAACTAAGAGTTAAGCTGAGTGGGGAAGGGAGGGCGACAGCTTATTCCCTTCACTAACCTGTCTTCACTATGCTGTCTTCATAGCACCAATGCTGTCAAGAGTAGCAGACAAAATCTGTGCTGCTTTGCTTAATAGGGCACTTACAGCTTTATTCAGTTACTGTCACAGAGTGCCAGGGTCCTTGAGATGAAACTGGACACAGATGTCTGCAAGAACACAAAGAGGCAAATCTTGCTGAGACTCCAACTTAACTGCAGTGCTGCTACAGGGACTGAAACGTTCCACTCCCACAACAAAGCCTGGCCTCTTCATGCTCCGTCTACAAAGGAAAACTGTAGGATAATGAGATTTTAACAAAGTCAGTACATCACTAACGTGTTTTAAAGTGGGAGATTTCCTTCTTGACAGGCTGCTAATTTGGAAAATATGCCACAAACATAAAGCAGATACTGTAGGGTAAAAAGAATGAAATCTTTAAAGTGACAAGTTTTGAGGGTTTGTTTATTGGGTTGGTTTGTTTTAATTTGAGTTCTGTATTTGCAGTGCTTTTGGTATTCCTCACTTCCCAGTTTAGAAGTGCAAAGTGCTCATAATAGAAATGAATATTACAGTAGAGTTCCTGATGGGAAAGGGACTGCTTTCTTAAATTAAAATACAAGGCCACTTCTGATTTATATGTCACCAGGTTATCCTCTGTGGACTGGCTGAAACAATGATGTGTTATGTAGCTGCATTCTCAAGTGTTAATTATAAACCCTGCAGGTCCTTGTTTTTCTGCCTGTCTCTGCAGTCTGTTTTTATGATGTCCTGTGCTCCATGTTGGCATCTTTCCCACTGCTACTTGTCAATTCCTTGTGCCTGACTCTGTCACTTTTCATTCTTGGGACAATCCCCTTTTTCAGGAAGCCCTCTCTTTTTAACCTGACAGCTTTAGCCTCCCCCAATGCCTCCTGTTCACAAAATTGATGTGCTGTTTGTCAAAGTTGAACTGTAAGCTCCTCATGGCAGGCCTGTGTCATCTTCTCTATGTGTGTAAGGTGATGCGCACTCGTGAAGTAATATCTACAAATAAAGGTGGTATTAAGTTAATCACTAGTTTTCCTTTTGAGGCTGAGTGTAATAAAGGTATTGCTTGGTTCTTAATGAGGCTATGGAAGAATTAATGCTTTACACCGTGTCATCTGCCCCATGGCATGAGGCATGTTGAGTGTTGCCTTTGGTGGTTCTCAGGTTAGGTGCGAACTAACCTAACCAAGGATGTCAACTACTCTCCACTAGAAAAATAATCTTGAAGATATATTAAGTAATGCAGACAGCAAGTTGAGAAAGAGATCAAGCTCAGTTACACAGGGTAAAATGCTATCAAATAGTGAAAGATGAACTCATCTGCCCCTAGGTGGGAATGCTACAGGAGAGAGGCAGGAAAGCCATACACCTCTGTTATCCACACTGGATGTATGGCATATTACGTTTCCAGTCACATAGAGAAGCCTTGCTCTGCGATTCCAGTGACAAAAGTAATAAAACTAGTGCTCATTAGTAGGTTTTTATTGAGTACAGGTCATGTAAAAGGGGTTTTGCAGTTGTCTTCGTCATAAATAGCTGGGGTTACTCTTAATGCCAAGTACAGCTTGGCTGGCTCCTGCTTGGGAGTAGTAATGAGAAGGGGAGAGGCCTTGACCAGGCTGTAAATCATGATCTGGTGACAAGGCGGAGCCCTGGTGCTGGAAGGCTCGCTTCATAGAATGATAGTTTGGGCTGGAAGGGGACCTTAAACCTCACCCAGTCCAATCCCCCTGCAACAAGCTGGGACATCATCAACTAGATTAGGTTGCTCAGACCCCCATCCAGCCTGGCCGTGAATGTCTCCAGGGAGGGTGCATGCACCACCTCTGTGTACAACCTGTGCCAGTGTTTTACCGCCCTCATTGTGAAGAATTTTTCCCTCGCATCCAGCCTGAATCTCCCTCTTTCAGCTTAAAACCATCCCTCCTTGTCCTTTTGAACAGGCGCTGCTAAGAAGTCTCATCTTATAGGCCCCTTTGAAGTACTGAAAGCCTGCAATAAACAGAGGGAGACTGAGATGAGCTCTGAGGCAGAAGCTCTTCCCTGTGAGGGTGCTGAGGCGCTGGCACAGGGTGCCCAGAGAAGCTGTGGCTGCCCCATCCCTGGCAGTGTTCAAGGCCAGGTTGGACACAGGGGCTTGGAGC